TGTCTGCCTCCCGAACCACAACTACATATCATGGTCCTGGCTCCTTCCTCCATCATGTAACTGCCCCACCCATCTTCACACCTGTCACCTGTCACCTCTACCTACCTGCCTTGTCAGCTATAAATCTGATCTGCACCAGCTCGGCCACCACCGTCTGCATTTGGGTCCTACTCTTGTTGTCCAGCTCACACCAGTCGTAACAAAGAGAGAACTGCAGTGTGGATATAATCCTAGTATCTGCTTACTAATTACATTCCCATGTGTTTAATGACAGTAAAATGTCATGGTCTTTAATGCCTAAACCTACAGATCGGACACCGGATGCAAACCCCCGTACGCTAACCGCACCAGTGAAATGAACCTGATGCCGTCCTCTTCGGTCTTACTCTGAAGTTATAAATGTGGTGTGAATACATGTTTGCAATAAATTAACACTTTCATTTAATTTAAATGTACCTGACAATCTGAAGTGAAAGTTCACACTTGCAGTGTTTTTCACTGTTTCAGACACAGACATATGGCTGCGCTGATCCATTATGTAACATTTAGGAGGATCTATTGGATGGAATATAATGTTCAAAGGTAAGTTTTCAGTATTTTTATATAATCACGATCATGGCTATGTTAGATCATCACCACAGCTACAGTAGGTGTAGAATGAATGAATCAGCTTTATTTGCCTTCATGTACAGTGTTTGGCACTGGGAACTAAACCTGGTGTGAGCAGGCACAAATCCTCTTATCTCCGACATCCAAATTGCACTTTTCTGCTTGATTGTTTCTGACACACCCCCTACCACAGCCTTCATTCCACTTCAGTACAGTCAACATCACTGCCAGTCACTGAACAGGCACCGATGAGAGGAAAAAGACCATGTGAAGTTTCTGGGGCAAAGTGAAAGCCTGATTTAAGGTTAAAGTAGCAACTATGGAAACTACGCCTCAAAACACATCAGCTCTTTCCTTTATGAATACACTGTGAGTATGTTTGTCAAGTGTTATCCACCTGCTGTAGTCTTTAGTTAGAACAGATATCAGCCTGACTCATGCTGCCTCTGCAAATCTGCTGGTTTTGTTCCTAATCTGCCAACATAAAAAATTGGTTTCCATTAAAATGCTTGAGGTTGAAAACTTGAAAAGAGATGAAAAGTAAAGAATAATGGCCAACGAGGTATCAGGAATTAATGGATGATGTGGATGGACTTTACGGTTGCCTCTGCAAAGTCCTTACTGAAGAAAACAACAAAGATTATTTTATTTTCAGGCATTTTTCAATCAAGATCTAAAGTTTCTCTGGTAACACCTAAGGTCCTTCCAAATACCTGGAATAATCATTATCATCCTATAAGGTTCCAGTACATTACAGTAAATAGGACAAGCCTTAGATGTGACTTGGCAACGGGAGATATTGCTAGTTCCCTCAACTCAGAGATTGCTTTGGCTCAGTTACAAGACAGAGAGCTAACATTACGCTACAAGATAGTCAAATATTGATTAAGTTTCTCATCATAATGACTTACAAAGTCCTTTTTCCCCCCGTCACATTGGCAGAAATGGGTTTCCATATTAAGTTCATGAGAGGATGTGTATGATTGTGTGTGTAGATAGTTGAATTTAGATTTATGTGTGTGTGTTTGAGAGGGGGTCCTTTAACGTACAATAACATGAGTTAGAATAGGAGAAACCTGGAGAGTGTCAGTAAAGGAGACTTATCTTAACTTCTGGTCAGTCCAACGGAGACAAAGTAGTCCAACGCTGTATCCGAGCAGGCCGAAGTTGCTCCAGGGATCAGCTTATTTCCAGCTGAGCCTTGTTGTCCAGGACAGGTCAGTAAATCCAGCCAGGAACAACTCTTTACCTTTATATATGTCACTGTTTTTCTTTTTAACCAGAAACTGTAAATTATACTTTCCAATTATCTTCTTCTTTCAGCTACTCTCACTTCTCTTCCATGCTGCCTTTGTTTGTTTCTCCTCCAGCTCTCAGGTGTTTCTGATTTATCTCCTCCCTTCCCCCACTTCCTCTTGAAGTTTAATGGTTATTTTTACATTAAAAAACTAAACTGAACATCCCATATAAATTCCTTTAAAATACCATATAAATAAAGGTTTTTCCCTGAGATATGACTGTGAGTCATGAGTGTCACTGTTAGAGAAACTGTATTTAACCTATTTAGGGTTTACAATCTTTTACTGTCATGGTTTGACAGTTTTCCACTGTAAAATCTACAGACATTTTTAACAGCAATATGACCAGTGTCATTTATACAGCAGTTGAGTTAAGTTACATTTTGCAACAGTAATTATTAAAGGTGCAGCAATCCAACACAATTTTTTTTTCTTACAAAATTCAGCAAATATCTGCGATCCACTATAACTATCTGTTGTCACAACCAGGCTCAAGGCTGGACAAAGCAGAGGAGAACACACACGAGTTGTAACTAAAAATATGTTTATTCTACATAACTAAAAGAGAAATGAAGCTAAGGACAAACTAAATACAACAAAACAAAACAAGGTTGAAGCCAGGGGAGAGAGAAAGACTGGTGGAGGGACTGTTGAGTTCAGTTATAATGCCTTTCATCTGGTTTTGTATTTCATTGCATTTCATTTCACAACGTTCATTGTATAAAAAATACAGACATCCCGTGACCTCAGTGGTGGGTCCGGCCATGCCCACCAGAGGTGGCAGTAAGCAACAAGAAGTAAGGGTACTCGTGGACAAAAATCTGATGTGCCGGTGAGTACTGACCCATTTCAGGCGCTGGTTATGAGCAGCCATGTGAGAAAACCTGCTCATGTCAGCTTGCTAATTGTAGTTCTAGGTTGTCAGGAGTTTGACAGCTGTGATATCGCCACAGTAGGAGTGCTAACAAACCGTGACAAAATGGCTGCAAAGCCACCATTACTACATCTAATTAAAATCCCAAAATATTCCTAAAACTATTGATTCAGCTCCTTCAAAAGGTCTGTTTGTATATAAGGGTATTATAAGGACCAAGCTCCTGAGTATATGTTATATATGTATATTAAATTGTTTGTCTTGCTGACAGGGTTGTGCTTGTTTTCTACATCTTGTGTTCAGTATTTGGAGTTAATATTTAAATATACCTTGATTGTAAAACATAAAACAAGTCTCATATCATGAACTTTTATACTTCATCAGGATCCACAGCTGTAGAGTAATTTCATGTCTCACTTGTGATCTTAGCAGTTTAGCTTGGAAGCCTGCATTAATTAATTATGAGTATAATTTGTATAAAGCATAGAGTTATAATTATAGAGTTTTTTTCAGTTGTGTCCAGACAAGAGACAGATTACTCTGCTGGCAGGATCACAATATAAATACACATTCATGTAGGGTTACATTACACTGTGACAAATACACAGCTGACAGCCAAAGAACAACAGGCCTGAAACACAGCAGATGGCACAAAAATGACATATTACAACAGTTTTCTTTAGTCAGAAAGCTTGACAACCATTATTTAGATTTCTAATGTACTTTTAGGTATTGTTAATTATTCATTGTGCACGCGGTCAGCCCTGAAGCTTCTTACAGTCCATCATGAGATGCCTGTGCCTTCCAGAGCCAAGACAGCAAAGAAACACACTCTGATTTTGCAGTACAAAGGACACATCTGTTGCAAAAGATCTGCCAGCTGAATAATAGGATTAAAGTTCTCAGTATAGAGAGCTGCAGAGGCACTAAGAACCTTACATTATAGGAATAGCAAACCGACTGAAGAACTCGTTCAAACAAGTGTTTCCTCCACAAAGAAGTCGGACGATAATGAGAGGGATACGATTAGAAAGCGTGCCGCCGTCAGGAGAGGGCTTAAGCTGAGAGATGTGACGGCCACAGTCTTCAAAGAACATCAGTCCTGCTGTGGTGCGACTCATCTCGCTCCTACTGAACCTTTCTTCTTTTTCCCCTTCAGTGACGGCGTCGATCCTTCCACTTGTCTTTGCTGCCGTTGATAAGCCTTGATGAGAAAACACAAGACTGGGGGATGAAGTGTCGAGGGAGCAGCTTCACAAGGCTCTGATTGGCACTACAATAGGTTTGATCTGCACGTGATGGAGTTATAAAAACATATTGAATATGGAAGGTTTATTCTCTCTGTATAATATAAGATGGCTTCTTTCATGGAGAACACACGTACAAAAACGAGCTTGCTCTAACATATTCCTGAGATTAGCCCTGATTTAGTTTAGGTTGTGTTCAGAAACATGTTGAGATCCCTATGAAGGCTTGTCAGAGTGATGCAGCTTACAGACTCCACTCTAAAACCACTATTACCCCAAAATTCCACCTGGCACGGCTTTATAATGTTGCATGTGATCCACGTGTCTTCAAATCACACTGAGAGTGTTTCAGAAGGGAAGCGTCTTCAGAGCGTGTTGCCTGCCCAACGTTGTTAAATTGAGTATTTTGTCCTTGAAAGGACACAAAACAGTGTGTTTCTCTGCTTAAAATGTCCTCTGATTGATTGATGTCTGGGCTGGTGCCACAGTGTTGATGTAGCGTGGAGTCTGCATGCTGTATTTTATTTTGAAAATTGATGGGATTCTCT